ATTGTCTGCACATGTAACCCTCGCTGCGGCCAGTGGATGTATATTCTCTCTTTTCAGATTTAAAAAAACTTTGTTCATATTTTTTGAACATGTAATTTGTGGCAAACCTCTGTAAGAATAGACAATGTGTTGTACAGTAATATTAATTAGAAATCACAGTTATAGATAAAAAAAAATGAATTCCAAGCATGTTTTTAAAAGTAGTCTTTTGTTATTGTTTTCAATACTGCTATAGAGGACTATATAAAAATGTATGTTTCAGAGCAAAAAAATCTAAAGCTAATTAATATGCAGATGATTCAGATGCTCACTGGTCATCAGCAATTTTTCAATAGTTCACAACAGAGCTTACAATGTAAGTGTTTTTAAATTTACATCTGTAATTTTTCAGTAGTTCCAGACAGAGACTCTGAGAGAGCCTACAATGTATGTGCTCTTTAATTTAAGAATTTCACAAAAAATATAAGAAATAATTAGAAGTGTCCCATAATTTTAATTGTCATTTTGTAACAAATGTCCTAAAGTAATTTTGAAACTAGTGAATCCCTTGGATGTCTGTTTTTTTTGCCAATGAGGTTAAAACAGTTGATGTATTTAATCTGTCATCGTATGTAGCAGACTCTATGTCTACAACATGCAGGATCAGGTAGATGTGATGTACGATCAATGAATTATTAATTTGTGAAAACAAGACTTAGATTTTAAGATGTAATGGATTTGGTACTAATAAATATGTATCCATTAATAAATATGTATCCAGTAATTTGTGTTTTTATACTGATGTGTCATCAACAATGACATCAGTTATGACATCACTATGACCTCACCATTAGAGTACTATGACATCATACTAACACCAGCATCATATGACATCAGTCTTCTAGTCCTAGAATAATTCTCAGTTAAGAATGGTAATTGAGAAATTATGTCAGTGACCAAATGTTTTAGAAATGTATTACATGCAGTATTGTGTTGAAATATTCAAAACTCAAGGGGTAAATTTAAAAAAAAACAAATAATCAAGACAGAGAAAACAAACTTTGACAAAAGAAAATTGCAGAAAAAAATATTTAATATATTTAATAAAGAAAAGACAGAGAAAACAAACTTTGACAAAAGAAAATTGCAGAAAAAACATTTAATATATTTAATAAAGAAAAGACAGAGAAAACAAACTTTGACAAAAGAAAATTGCAGAAAAAAATATTTAATATATTTAATAAAGAAAAGACAGAGAAAACAAACTTTGACAAAAGAAAATTGCAGAAAAAACATTTAATATATTTAATAAAGAAAAGACAGAGAAAACAAACTTTGATAAAAGAAAATTGCAGGAAAAACATTTAATATATTTAATAAAGAAAAGACAGAGAAAACAAACTTTGACAAAAGAAAATTGCAGGAAAAACATTTAATATATTTAATAAAGAAAAGACAGAGAAAACAAACTTTGACAAAAGAAAATTGCAGAAAAAAATATTTAATATATTTAATAAAGAAAAGACAGAAAACAAACTTTGATAAAAGAAAATTGCAGAAAAAACATTTAATATATTTAATAAAGAAAAGACAGAGAAAACAAACTTTGATAAAAGAAAATTGCAGAAAAAACATTTAATATATTTAATAAAGAAAAGACAGAGAAAACAAACTTTGACAAAAGAAAATTGCAGAAAAAAATATTTAATATATTAAAGAAAAGACAGAGAAAACAAACTTTGACAAAAGAAAATTGCAGAAAAAAATATTTAATATATACATTTAATAAAGAAAAGCAAATAAAGATGAGTATAAAAATATAAGATCATGACAGTAGATTTGGTTCGGTGCAGAGTTTGACCTTTTAATACAAATAAAAATGTTGCAGAAACAACATAAGCAGATTAATTAACTGTAAACTCAAGAGACTGCCATTATTAATTTAATTTACATATAGCAGTCCAGTGTGACGTTATATCATTTATCGTCATGGCTACTGATGTAACGATGTACACTGTAGTATCATACAAGTTACAAAAATAATCAATAATTGAAAAACAACAGATATCAAATCATAATCAATAAGTAATAAAATAAATGAAAAAATAAATATGAAAATAATTATAATATGAAAATTAAAATTTTGTTGAAAATATTAGGATCAGTACACAAAACATTTGAGAATATTCATTGTAATAAAAAATAAATATGTTAAATTAATTATTCATAGCAAAAATATATTTACAGCTTTACAAAGCTAATAAAATTAATTAATTGATTAAATATTTATTAACTTCCTTTAAATGAAAGTATTTAATAAAGAAATATGTTCACTATGATTTCTGATCACTTTTATGTTCATGAATTAGTCATTCATTAACTACTGTGAAATACTTTATTTCAGCTGTAATTAATTTTCGCTGAAAAATCTTTTTGGGCGTTTTGTATGGAATTTATTTTCACTGATTTTTGACAAGTTGAATGTGAGACATTGGAAAAAAAATATATTCGCTGGATTTTATTTTCACTGAAGCATCCCTTCAGCGAAAATAGCGAAAATAAATTCCAAGCGAAATTAAAGTACTGTAAAATGACTAAAATTCACTGGGTTTAAATTTCACTGATTTATCATTTCAGGCATATTCAGTGTGTTTTAAATTCACGGTTTCATCATTTAGATAATGTGTTCTATGCTAAATTTTACATATTCACTGTGTTTTAATTTAGCGCATTTTTCCAGTCAGCGAAATAAGCTAAATTAAAACCCAGTGAATAATTACCCCCTTTACAGTATTCTACAGTATTCTATAAAATTTCAAAAAATATGGCAGTAGACAAATGATGTGACCTAGGGAGTCTGGCTATTTTCGGATATGCCTAGGGAGTCTATTCTCTGATATGCCTCGAGTCTAGCTATCTTCTGATATGCCTAGAGAGTCTAGTTATCTTCTGATATGCCCGGGGAGTCTAGCTATCTTCTATGCCTAGGGAGCCTAGCTATCTTCTGATATGCCTAGGGAGTCTAGTTATCTTCTGATATGCCTGGGGGTCTAGCTATCTTCTATGCCTAGAGAGTCTAGCTATCTTTTGATATACCTAGGGACTCTAGCATTTTACTAATATGCCTAGGGAGTCTAGCTATTTTCTGATATGCTTAGGGAGTCCATCTGTCTTTCGATATGCCTAGGGATTCTAGCTATCTTCTGATATACCTAGGGAGTCTAGCTATTTTCTGATATACCTAGGGAGTCTAGCTATTTTCTGATATACCTAGGGAGTCTAGCTATCTCACCTTACATAACCTTTAAAAGTACATGCACTTCCTAACACTATGAGTATGGTATGGGTTAACTCCATACTAAATTTTGCAAAGAATTGTTGGATAGAAAATTGAACTATAGGGTTGTAGGGTTGTATATGGCTGTATAGAACAGATATGAGCTCAACCCCCAAACACCCTCTGTAGTTCAATTTTCTATCCCACAAAATCCAATATGGAGTTAACGCATTTCTTTCCTGTACATTATATCAGATGACCCCTATTCAGGAAAACTAGTTAGTTCCTTCAAGAAAAATCTGTACAATCGATCCCGTTATTTTGCTTTTGAATTAATTATGTGAATCTCATAAATTGTATCGTTATGGGGATTACATTTTATTAGCTCCACTGTCAACATAACAGAACTTTTTTCTTAGTACTTATTGTCTGTCGTCTGTTGTCTGTCGGTGTTAACTTTAGAACTTTATCTTTGACTTCTTGGAAACACCCAGTCTGTTAGTTTTCATACTTGGTATATATGTACCTTGGGTGGATCTCTCTCAGATTTGTTTTCATCTTGTGAAGATACATGTATCTTCAAATTTGTAATTTTTGGTAAAAAGTGCTATTTTTGACTTTTTCAGATTAGCCTGATTGTGTTAATGCTTTATATGTAG